GTGCGTGCGTGCGTGTGCGTGCGTGCGTGCGTGCGTGCGTGCGTGCGTGTGCGTGTGTGTGCGTGTGTGTGTGTGTGTGCGTGCGTGCGTGCGTGCGTGCGTGCGTGCGTGCGTGCGTGCGTGTATGTGTGTGTGCGTGTGGAAGCAAGGGCTCCCAACTTCGCGCTTCGCGCCGCGCGAAGCGCGAAGTGCGAATAACCTCGCGCTCTCGCGCCGCCTCCCAGGGGAGGAGAAGAGGATGAGGAGGAATCGGAGCCGAACCGCGAAGCACGAAGCGCGAATAACTTCGCGCCCTCGAGGGCGCCCTTGGAGCAAGAGGGTAGGTGTGTGTGTGAGAGAGAGAGAGGGCGGTAGCCGCAAAACTCGGCCGGGAAAGCTCGGCTGGGCTGAGCTCGGCCCACTGAACTCGGCCAGGCTGAGCTCGGCTGGCTGACCTCGGCCGGGCGGAGCTCGGCCAAGCTGCATTCGGGCAGGGCCGAGCTCAGCCTGGTCGAGTGGCGCTGGCCGGGTTCAGCCTGGCCGAGTGTCGACTGTCCGATCCTTTCCCTTCTCTGGTGGGGGGGGTGGCGGTCGGCCGCGCCCTGCTTTGTGCTGAATCCCCAGGCGGTCCGCGGCGTCGGCCCGCTCCTGCAGCTCCCTGTCGGCGCGCTGCTGCGCCTGTTTGGCCAGCTCCTGGGCCTGCGAGGAGGCGGGAGGGAGGGACGGTGCCTCGCTCCTACTCCTCCTTCTCTTCCTACTCTTCCTTCTCCCCCTTCCCCTCCCCCTCCCCCTCGTCCTCCTCCTCCTCCTCCTCCTGCTCCTCCTCCCTCCTCCTCCTCCTCCTCCTCCTCCTCCTCTCCTCCTCCTCCTCCTCCTCCTCCTCCTCCTCCTCCCCTCCTCCTCCCCTCCTCCCTCCATCCTCCTCCTCCTCCTCCGCCTCCTCCTCCTCCTCCTCCTCCTCCTCCTCCTCCTCCTCCTCCTCCTCCTCCTCCTCCTCCTCCTCCCCCTCCCCCTCCTCTTCGTCTTCGGGCCACTTCACTTTCCTGGACCACTGCGTGGGATAGCCTGTTACTGTTCCTGTTTAGGTTCCTCCTCCTCCTACTTCTCCTCCTCCTCGTCATCGATGGACGTTAGCAGAAACAAACAACCTGCGTACACGTCAACTTCATGGGGCACACGCTAACGTGTGTTAGGGATCTGTGGATCTGGCGCGTGGGCGCCAGATCCATGGATCGGAGAAGGCACCCCCGAAACATTGCGCAAGTGCCGCCTGATGTGGCGACGGAGTGCGTCGATTTCGCAAGGACATTGGACCAGTCGCTTATCCACGCGTGTTAACACATGTTTGTGTTTCCTCGGCTTTCGCAAGCCCGCGCGGATTCCTTGCATCGGCGCTTGGGCTCCCCCGGCAACGCCTCGGGCGCCGCCCCTGGCGCGCTAGGAGGGGGGGCCCAGGCGCCGATCCAAGACATCCGCGCGGACCTCCGACCGTTTCTATGCTTATACCATTTTCTTATTCTATCAACCTCCTCAGGAAAAGGAGGAGGAGGAGGAAGAGGAGGAGGAGGAGCATGGGGGAGGGGGAGGGGGAGGGGTGGAGGGAGAGGAGGGGGAGGAGGAGGGGGAGGAGGAGGAGGAGGAGGAGGAGGAGGAGGAGGAGGAGGAGGAGTGCAAGCCGAAGACTTACCAACGATGTTGCAATAAAAAAGCTCCCTCCAAATACCCTCCTCGTAAGTCCCTGCAGAGACTCCTTTTCACGGAGGAGGTGCCCCGTTGGAAGGCTACCGTCTCTGAAAATCCCGCACCGTGTCAGAACACCATTCCTGGGACTTCAACGCCGCGAATCATGATCCATTCCAAAACACGGTTCGTGGGACTGCAACACCGCGAATCAACGTACCTGTTGCGCCCTGTGCGCGGCGCTGAATGCGAGAGCCACATTTTGAACAAGTGCCGCCGTCCACCCGTAAAGCGTCTGCAAGCTTGTAAGTCGAATAGGCGCGGTGCTCAGGCGAGAACCACCTAAAAACGGCCCGCCCTCCATCCGTGAAGCTCTTGCAACCTATTAGAACGAATATGCGCGGCATCAAGACGTTAAACACAATTTGAAAACGACCCGCCCTCCCATCCGTGAAGCTGCTGCAAATCTTCAGCTTAAGGATATACATGTTTAGGAATTATCGAGCGGAAGCGCCCAGCTCGCCCTACCAACACGTCTCGGGGTGCGACCAGGAGGATGTACTATCAGGAAAGATGGTGGAGGAGGAGAAAGACGAGGATGTCACGGACGAGGGGGAAGAGGAGGAAGAGGAGGAGGAAGATAAGGAGGAGGAGAGCAAAAGGAGGAGGGGGATCCACACTAATTTTCCAGGTTGGGCATTTCCCTTCTCAGGCCCCTCGTCCCTTGACCCTCGCCTCAGGTCCCTCGAACCTCGTGGTCACCCAACGGGCAAGGGGGGGGGGGCAACTGTCAATGCTGCTGACGGGTTACGGGTGGGGTGGGGCAATCGGGGGTCTGCCCGTGACGCCCCCCCCCCCCCCTCCCCCCGTGCCCCCCCCCCCCCCCACCACACCACCACACACAAAACACACACACAATCAAACACACAATCACAATCACACACACACACACCACACACCACACGCCACACACCACACGCCACACACCACACACAACACGCGACACACGCGCACACGCGAACACGCGCACGCGCGCACACGCGCACACGCACCCACGCACCAACGCACCCACGCACTCACGCACCCACGCACACACGCACACACGCACACACGCACACACGCACACACGCACACACGCACACACGCACACGCGCACATACGCACACACGCACACACGCACACGCACACGCACACAATCACAACCACACACATAACACAACACAGCACACCACAACACACACACACAACACACACACACACACGCACACGCCCACACAGAGACTCACATATACACAGATACAAAGACACAGCGACACAACGACACAAAGACACAACGTCACACACACACACACACGCACACACACGCACATCCGCACTCGGGCGGGCCTACAGTGCGAGCGATGCAGGTGAGTGCTAGCCGTCCACCGTTGGCCCAAGTGGAGGTCGAGGAAGCAATGGGGTCGAACTCAACGTCGACAAGCCTTGCGTGTATGCAGGGCTGCTGAACGGTGTCCACCCACCTCCGTAGGGTCGGTCGCTAAGTCATCTTCTGTGTCTGGAAAGTCACACAACTGCGCGCTAATCCCGCCCGTCCTCATGTCGCAGAGAGCCGATGCTGGCGCTGTAGAGCTTCAAGTTCCCCATCTTCCCGAGTAGCGAGCACACCTCTGGCCCCCGCGCGCCCTCTCTCTGGCGCTGACACTGGCGGCGCAACCGATGTCCACAACTATCGCCCATCTGGTTCCACGATCGCCTCGCACATCTCGCTGAGCAGCGCTATGGCCTGCTGCCACTGCTCGCCTTTCTCGATCGCGTTTGTCCACCACGTGCTTCAGCTGATGACATTGGACTTCAGCTCCGCCTTTGAGCAACGCCACGCTGCCACTGCTACCCCCTCTCGCACGCGCTGATCCCAGCGCTGTAGCTGATAGCGTCGGGCTCCAGCTTCGCTTTCGACATCTTGCTGAGCAGCGCTATAGCCCGCTGCCACTGCCCGCCCTCATCGCACGCGCTGATCCCTGCGCTGCAGCTGATCACGTTGGGCTTCAGCTTCGACCGCCACATTATGCTGAGCAGCCCCACAGCCCTCTGCCACTGCTCGCCCTTAGCGCACGCGCTAATCCCAGCGTTGTAGCTGACTATTGTGTACCCGTGCTTGCTGCCACTGGCGGCGGGGGTTGCCGAACCACGAGTGGGTCGTGCCAGAGGGCACGAAGAAGGTCCCAAGAAGGTTCCAAGAGGGCTCGAAGAGGGCCCCAGGACACCGCCGGGCGCGGGCCTACCATTCTGCCACGAGAGGCCTTTCTGCGGCAGAATGCACTCGGCCCTGTCTTAGTACATGCGTCATGGGGCATTGTCGGGGCCCTCTTGGGGCCCTCCTGGCCCCCTCTTGGGGCCTCTCGGGAGCGCTCCCACCCTGTCCTGACCCCCTCTTGGGGCCGCCACGGGCGCCTGAGGAGCCGTCCTGGCGCAGATTTTTGGAGCCCTCCTGGCAGCCTCCTGAGGCGTCTTGGGACAATCTTGAGTGCCTGCGTGGCCGTCTTGGACGCTTCGAAGACGAAAAGCACGGGAACTCCCGAAATGCACGTTTTCCCGAGGCATTGGGACGATTTTACCTTGCTCGGGCTCTCCAGGGGCTCTCTCTGGAACCCACTTGGAACATTTTGGAGGCCTCTTGGGCCGTTCGGCGGCTATCTTGGGCGTCTTCGGCCGTCTTCGGGCCCTCTTGGGGGCCTTTGGGGGCGGCTCGGAGCGCTCTGAAACCATCTTGGAATCGCTCCGTGGCCCCAGGGCCGCGCCGGCAGTCGCTGGAGGGGGCTGGTCCACGGCCACTGCTCGCCCATTTGGCTAGCATTGAACGCTGCATTCTAGTAGAGATGACGCTGGGCTCCAATTTCACCCTCCACATTTCGTTTAGCAGCGCCAGTCCCCGCTGCCACTCACTGCCCTTCTCCAACGCGCTGATCCCAGCGTTGTAGCTGATGACGTCGGGTTCCAACTTTGCCTCCCGCATCTCGCCCAGCAGCGCCAAAGCCCGCTGCCACTGCTCGCCCTTCTCACAAGCGCTGATCGCAGCGTTGTAGCCGACTAGGGCTGACCCGTGGACAACGTTCACTTTCGGGGTGAAGCGTGTGGGGGCCTCTGAGGGTGTCATTGCAGCGTGGGGCTCGACCCTCGCATTCGGCGCATGCCTCTGCGTGGTGTTTCTTGCTGCCGGTATCGCATGTTGTTGGTAATGCTCGCCGCTGCTGTGTGTCGTTGTTGCTTGTGGCTGAAAGGTGCTGCTGATGGCCGCGTCTGCTTGGTGCGTGCTGCTTACCGCCACCTGCTGCTGCTGCTGCTGTTTGCTGTTGCTGTGCACTTACGCTATTGTTGCCTGCTACGTGTTTCGTGCTGCTGCCTTTGGGTAATGGGGGCGTCTTGAGCCGCCCCAGGATGATCTTGAGTCACCCTAAGGCTGCAGTAGGGCCAATGCTGGAAATTCAGAAGCAGCAGTGGGCCTTCTTTTCTAATGATGTTTTATGATCGCTGTGGCCGCCCGAGGTCGGAGGATGCGCGAAGGCTGCCTGGGTTGGGGCGAAGGTCGAAGGCACTGCGGAGCATGCCCCCATGGCCAGCCTGTCCGGAGCACTCTCAGAAAGAACTTCCGGACGAGTCGCCCATTTAGACGAAAGCGTTTGCAAAGGAGGGGAGAAAATAAGAGGCGCATGGGCGCCTTATTTTCCTGGGTGGCCGGCGCGGTCCCAGAGCTCTCTGGAACCGTCGCCCGGAAGCCTCTTGGAGGCGGTTTTGGGGGTCTTGCGGCCTATCGAGGGTCTCTTGGGACCTGATTTGAGCATCTTCGGCGACGCCTATTGGGGGCAGGTGGCGGCTTCTGGGATCATCCTGGAGCGGAGAGCGCGAGCTGTCAGCTCGAGTTTCCTCTCGTGGGGCCCTCTTGGGGTCGTCTAGGGCCGTCTTGGGGGCCTCTTGGGCCGTCATGGGGCCCTCTTGGGCTGTCTGGGAGCTCTCTTGGGGGCCTCTCGGGCCATCTTGGCGAGATCGTGGGAGCCCCAGGGCTGGCTTGGAGTGTCGAGACATCGAAAAGGCGAGAACGCTGAGACCCTTCCAAAACCCAAGGGACATCAATGATGTTAGCCTCTGGGGGCTTGGGCCGTCTTCTGGCGCTGTGAGGCCTTCTAGGCCGTCTGAGGGGCCTCTTTGGGGCCAGCTGGCGGTCTATGGGATCATCGTGGAGCGGAGGGCGGGACATGTCAGTTCGAGTTCCCCCTCGAGGGGCCCTCTTGGGGTCGTCTTGGGGCCGTCTTGGGGCCTCTTGGGCCGTCTTGGGGCCCTCTTGGGCTGTCTGGGAGCTCTCTTGGGGGCCTCGTGGGCCATCTTGGCACGATCTTGGGTGCCCTGGGGCCGGCTCGGAGCGTCGAGACATCGAGAAGGCGAGAACGCTGAAACCCTTCGGGAATCAATGATTTTGGCCTCTCGGGGCCCTGCTTGGAGGCATCCTGGAGCCCTCTTGGGCTGACTTCCGGCACTGGGGCCTTCTGGAAGCCATATTGGCGACTTCTTGGACCGTCTGGGGGCGCCTCGGGCCATCTTGCGCCGTCTTGTGGCCCTCAGAAGCCGTCGTGGAGCCCCCCAGGGCCGGCCTGGGCCGGTTTTGGTTCATTGGATCCTCCGCCCTTCTGTCACGCGCGACCCCCGGAGTTCTAGTATAGACTAGTGTGCGCCCGTGGAGCAACTCCGCAAGTGCCCTAGCAGGGGAACGCGGCGAGGCCATCTCTGGGCCATCTTGGGTTGCCTTGGGTGCCTCTTGGGCCGCCTTGGGGCTTTCCGTGAGTTGTCTTGCAGCTCTCTTGGGCCGTCTTACAACCTTGCAGGAGATTCTGGGAGCACCCGCAAATTACCCCAAGAGGGGCTCCAGAGGGCCCGAAGACCGCCCCAAGAGGGCCCTCAGAAAACACCCGACGGATGCTACAATAGGAGGGTGCGTTGTAGCATCCGTTGGGGGGCCTCTTCGGGCTCTCTGGGAGCGCTCTTGGGGCCGTCTTGGGGTGCACCTGGGGCTCTAGTGAGCCATCTCTGGGTCATCTTGGGTCGTCTTCGGCGCCTCTTGGGCCGTCTTGGGGCCTCTTGGGCCGTCTTGGGGCTCTCCCGGGCCGCCTTGGGATCCTCTTGGAGAGCCTTTTGGGCTGGCTTAGGGTGATCTTGGGAGCTGGTGGGCAGTCGTGGACGCAAGACGGGCCTCCAAATCGTGTGTGCTAGCAATGTTGGAAAACCTGCGGAACAACCTTAGATATTTGCACCGGGAGGCCCTGCTGGGCGTGCTCTTGAAGCGCTCTCGGGGCCTTTGGGGAAGCTTTTCTGCCGTCTGGGAACCGCTATCTTGGGTCCTTCTGATCTTGAGGCCATCCTCGGCCGTACTGGAGGTGTCTTCGGCGAACTTGGAAGTCCCTTGGACTCGCCCGGGCCGTCTGGGAGGCGCAGGCCCTCCCGGCGGGCCCTCCCAGCGCCCCCCCCCCCCCGGCTTTGCCACGATTGGCCCCTTCCACGCGATGCTCTGGGTATTGTGGCATAGACTAGTGTGAACCCGTTGATTGAGTCCATGATGCTTGAACTTGGGACCTGCGCACTGGGGCTGTGAGCGGGGCGCCGTGGTCCTCAACCATGACGGGGCACCAGTACTCCGCCATGACGTGCTTGCTGGGGCGCACTCTCTGCACGTGGTCCTGCATCGCCTTCCCGACATTCGGGGCTTCCTGGGAGCCTGACTGGGGCGCAGGGGCTCCTGTCGAGATATTTTGGGTGTCTCTGGGGCCGTATCGGGGGCATGTTGGGTCCTCCTGCTAGCCTGTCTGGGGCGTCTTGAAGGCCTGTTGCGGTATTGAAAAATGCCTGGGCTGTCCCCCAGAGCCTCTTCTGGGGGACAGCGCCGGAAGCTTTTCTAGAATAGCCCTGGGCTCTCAAGGTCTCTGTGGAACTCTCTTTCTTTGGGCCTTCTTAAAGGGAGCTCGGGGCTCTGTGGGACTGTCATCGGGCGCTCTGAAGCCATCTGGGGGCCATTGTCGAAGGCCTCTCCTGGGAGTCTCTTGTTTCATCGCTTTCGGTGGAGCTCCTCATGGGGCCACAAACCGCGTGAGGTGTGCGCCAAAATAGGGCGGCACAGCCATGCGAACCTCGCCACTGGGGACTTCGGTGGAGCTCCCGATGAGGCAACGAAACGTGTCCGGGGTGCGCCAGAGAGGGGCGGAGCCGCCATGCGGACCCTGCCCCTGAGGCCTTCGGCTGAGATTCGGATGGGGCCACGAAGCGTGTGAAGGGTGCGCAATAATGGGGCGGCGTCGCCATGTGGACCCTGCCACTGAGGTCTTGGGCTGATCTCCACACGGGGCCACGAACCATGGAAGGGGTTCGCCATAAAGCGGTGGCGCCGCCATGTGGACCCTGCTACTGGGGCCTTCGGTGCAGGTCCCTATGGGGCCACGATCATGTGGACCCTGCCGCTGGGGCCTTCGGCTGATCTCCCTATGGGGTGATGAGCCGTGCGAAGGGTGTGCCAAAATGAAGCGGCGCCGCCATGTGGACCCTGCCGCTGGGGCCTTCGGTGGAGCTTCCTACAAGGTCACGAACCGTGTGAGAGGTGCCGGGGGGGGTCGGCGCCGCCATGTGGACCCTGCCACTGGGGCCTTCGGCTGATCTCCCTATGGGGCCACGAGCCGTATGAAGGGTGCGCCAAAATTTGGCGGCGCCGCTGTGGACCCTGCCGCTGGGGTCTTTGGTGGAACTCCCAATGGGGCCACGAACCGTGTGAGGGGGCGCCGCCATGTGGACCCTGCTACCTAGGGCCTTCGGTGGAGCTCCCTATGGGGCTACGAACCGTGACCGTGTGAGGGGTGCGCAAAAATGGGGCGGCGCCGCCATGTGGACCCTGCCGCTGGGGCCTTCGGTGGAGCTCCCTACGAGGCCACGAGAAGTTGCACAGAGGCAGGGCCGGGAGGAGGGAGGAGCGGGAGGTGGCAGCGGGAGGGGGAAGACGAGGAGAACGCGGGGCGCTGTCTTTTCAAAAGGAGGACCGGATACCACAGGATGGCTGTGAAAAAACCTTCGAAACCACACGATGCTCGGCTTGTGGGGCCAGCATGAGGGTCCTCCTGGACCGTCGTGGGGTGTCTCCTGGCGTGTCTCAGGGCCGTCTTGGAACATTTGGAGGCTTTCTTCGGCTTCTCTGGTGCCTCCCAGCCGCTCTCTGAAGCGTCTGTGAGCCGTCGTTGGATGTCTTGGAGCCTTCTGGCGGCCACCCAAAACCGTCCAGGACCGCCCCAGGAGTGCCGGGAGCCGCCCTGGGCCGAGCTACAGCAACGCAATTTCGCGCGCACTGATTCGAGCACTGTAGCATAGAGTAGGGCTGATCCGTGAACTACCGTCCACGAATGCCAGTCAGAGTGCACTTGCTGCTGCTCTTTGCTTCAGGGTGCGCTGTTTCCTGGATGATTCTGAAGGCGTCCAGAGCAGCGCCACCAGTTTCAGCGGCAGTAGATCCAGGGGCATTTGCAATAGCAACAACATCAACTCCACCTCCTCCTCCTCCTCCTCCTCCTCCTCCTCCTCCTCTTCCCCCATCGTGCTTAGCTCTTCCTCGTCCTCGTCCTTCTCCTCCTCCTTCACCTCCTCCTCCTCCTCCTCCGTATTCTCCTCGTCGTCGTGCTTGGCCCGTCCACGTCTGCCGCCTCCTTCTGCTGCTCCTCCTTCTCGTCCTCGTCCTCGTCCTCGTCCTCGTCCTCCTCCTCCTCCTCCTCCTCCTCCTCCTCCTCCTCCTCCCTCTCTCCTTCTCCTCCTCCTCCTCCTCCTCCTCCTCCTCGTCCGCTTACTCCCCCTCCTGGAAGTCGTACGGGACTGCGCCGGCAGGAGCGCCTGTGGGGGAGGAGAGCGACGACGTGGAGGAGAAGGAGAAGGCCCAAGATGATGGGAATAATAACCTGCCCCCACACCTCTTTGGACGCGCTCGGCGCAGGAGGGGTCGCAGAAACAGCGTTCCTGGGTGTCCGCAGCTGGATCGGACAACTATCTTCTTTTCTGCAACCCCTCCACCGCAG